GGCACGGTTCTTTAGGCACCTTCCCTGCCTCAGCCGAACCTTCCCGTCCTGCTGCTGCCCCTTCCTCCCCCGGCCGCTCCGAGCTGCCCGCAGGCCCAGAGCTGCCGTTCTTGCTTCGAACCCAACGCGCCGCAACCCTCGTCAGCCGCTTGCTAGCCCCGCTGCGGTGGCCCCTGAACACCCCGGGTGATTTGGGTCGGTTTATATAGCTGTGACATAATTGAGCTGTCTCAGAATGGCTTCGTTTTATTGCTTGTGACAAGGACGGTCTTTAAGGAAGTGTATTAAATCAATAGCAGACTCATTGTGCTACACTATAAATAACGAGACACATCATTAAACAGGGCAATAAACTTCAGGACTTTGAAGTAATACAATTAGGTTATGTTTATAAAAAAAACCCTTATCGCTGTAGCCTTCCATTTGCCAATTCATCTCTCTCCTCCAGGGAACTTGGGATATTCCCTTGGCTTGATGTTTTTTTGTTGAAAATGACTATGATGTTTCTATCAGTGCGTAGGACATATTGTAGGATTCACAGGAGCAGGGGTTGTAAAGGCGCTTTCATCCTGTCTTGCGTGCGTTGCTGAGAGTGGCCTAATTTAGTGCAATCCAGCAGAGCCCGTGGTACGCTACCGCCAGCCCCCTCGGTGCTTTTCAGTTATTTTTTCTCTGTCTACCCAATGCAGCTATTCTTGTGAGCATATTTATGACATCCTGCACTCATTTGTTTTGTTTTCAAATAATGATAAATGAAGTTTGCCATAGCAATGCCCCTATTTCGCAGGAGAAAACGTTGCGGAGGTGTGTTGTTTACGTACCTGTGATGTTATTAATCATTCAGATGCGTTCCCTGGAATCCCCTTGCAAACGTGTCAGTGGGGAGGAGACTCGCCGCAGCTCCTGCTCCCGGTGGGGCCAGTTCAAATCCAGACGCGGGGTTACTCCAGCCTTAGAAGGTGTAAACGAGAGAGGACTCTGTTCAGTGATGGGACTAAATAGTGCGAGCAGTGCTTTGGTGCCTTTCGAGCTTAGTGATAGCGTCACCGGCGTGGTGGCAAGGCCTGAGTGGAGGTGAACAGTGGCAACATCTTGACCCTTTTGTGCAGCATCTCGCGCTTCTGAGCCCCCTGCCTTGCCCGTGCCGCAGGGATGGCTTCGGTTCTCGGAGGTCAATAGCGAAAGCTCGTGGCGCCGCAGGGAACCACAGGGGCCTTAAGTGGAGTAGTGTCGCGCTGACTTCACCTCACCCACATAGTTTCCTTTTTAGTACATGGTATGCAGTTATCCAAGGCTTGCTGTGAGCTTCCCCTTTCCCCACACAGCACTAGTACACCCGGCTGGAGCTGTGCCCACCCCGTGTCTCTCGCGTGGCTGCGGCTGGGTCCTTAGAACCGAATGCGGCGCTGTCAGCGCGTGCCGGGCATAATCGGAGCATCCTTCCCAACCGCACGCTCTGGGAGGATTTGGGACGTGGTTGTACAGTTTGCAAGTGTTTAGCTTAGCTGCTGTGGTGGCAATTTCAGCAGATCTTCCCCGCCTCCGTTTAGGGGTGCAGAGTAAAGCACCAGGGCACTCATTGGCCTCCCAGTGACCACACAGGGATTTTGTGCGTAATGCTCAGATGTCAGTGTTTAAATTGTGACTGTGCTGCATTTAGGCACCGGCTGCTGTCTCTGCGCTTGTTCCCTGTGCGTGAGTCCGTTTGTAGCGTGGGGCTTCAGCAGCTAGCCGGGCTCTGGCAGGTTGGACTTTCCAGGCCATTGGCATGATGGAGGGGACAAGCGCTATAAATGATTCTCCTAGATGGCCAGAGCAGTGCTCTTGGAAACACATTGAGGATGCTTGCGACTCTTGAAAGCGTCTAGGAGATTGTGTGGCTCTGTGGATAAAGAAGAAAGGAGTCAGAGGAAATGGAGGGTTCCCTCCAGGAGAAAACCACAGTTAGTTAAGAGCTAGATCTTGCTGATGAAGAAAGATGGATTTTATTCCCAGCTCCTCCACTGATTTCCCCACAGTTACCAGTGACATAAGGAGGATCTGAATAAATAGCTCTAGCTAGACAGTTCTGGATACCTCCTCAACCCAGAAACCGCTCTGGCCCGTCGTGCTCCCTGCTGCTGGCCAGCCCATTTCAGAACTGCACAGAGAACGCGCATATGCATCATCTCTAATAAATACAACAATAAAGTCAGGATAACTGTGATTTGTTAGGGAACGAAGCAGACCAAAAGAGGAGGGGGAGGAGGGGGGGAGTCTTGAGCTAATTGGAACGGCACCAAAAAATGATAAAAATGCACATTGTGGCATGTTTGCAGCATCGCACAAAATTATTTTAATATTTTAATCAACTTCATAAATCAATCCGCAGGCCTCAGGAGGAGGCCTCTGCCAATAAAGTGCACAATCTGTGCTTCGAGCCCTAATTGAAAACATTGTCTCAAACATGAAACTGCGCCGCTGGCAGTCTGACTTCTTGTAAACTGCCGGGCCAGACGCTGGCCCTCTGCCGATGCTGGAAGAGCCTGAGCGCTGCGCTCGCAGGCTGCAGAAGGGAGCCGTCACCAGAGCCCTTGACGCGTGTGTAGGTGTTTGCATATGGATGTCTTCAGCCACGCGGAAGGGAAACGGATCTGGTTCACTCCAGGGCTAGCAGCAAGCTCGTCCCTTTTCCCTGCCTGAACTCCCCACCGCTCTGGGACGGGCATGCTGCAGACACCTCCGGTGCTTGCCGTCTGCTCTACCGGCAGAAACGCCCAACGAGCTCTTCCTTCTGCGAGCAGAGAAGGTGTGCGCGGCGGCGGAGACAAATCTTGCGCTGCGGACGGGAGCCAGGCAGGCAACTCGAAAGCAAGCTTCCCCCAGTCAGCCTTAATTTAGCAGGAGGGAGATCGCTTTGGGGAGGGGGAGAGAGGAGCATCGTAGCCCCCCCTTGCTCCGGCTGCAAACGGGAACCGCTATGGGGAGTGCTGGGAGGCAGGGGCGCCGCGTCTCAGACGGGGACGAAGCCGCCCTCCCTGCTCCCAGAGGTTTGCAGGCGCACAAGCGTCAGAGGGGCGCGGAGGCGGGGGGGAGTTGCTGCGGAGCCCTTGCACACAGTGCTAAGCTCCGTCCACAGGCTGGACGCTTGCCTTGCCCCAGTCTCCCCTCTGGAAACCAAGTTAGCCCGTGAGCAAACAAAACCAAACCCTACTTTTATTTCATGTAGCGTGATGAAAGGCCCTTTTCTAGGGCCAGCTTGGCTCTGGCGCTACATAACCTAGCAACCCTGAGACTCATCGGAGGGGCCTCTGAGCGGGGACCTGGAGACCGACCCATCCATTGATCCGTTTCACTGGAGCCTGCGTGGGTTTTCTCCATCAGTGATGCTAGCGCTTAACGCTGATGGCACCTCGTCAAGCTTGCACCAGTTGTGTGGACGTCTTCATTTGGCAGCTGGGGCAAACGTGATGCCCCGTGCCACCTCCTGTTGCATTTAAGACACCGTCACAAAATGGACGGGACGAAAGAGAGGGGTGCCTACATCCAGCAAACGCACCTGCCAAGGACTGCGCCGACAGAGGTGTGTTAGAGGCCTGTTTGCTGTGTGGCCCCTCAGTCTGGCTGGCCGGGGGAAAGGGGAACCTGGTTAAGAGAAGGAGAGGGCTGCTCTAATAGCAAAACCTGACAGTCCCGGCAGAGATCTCCAGCAGCCGCTCTAGCTCACTCATTCCCACTGAGATACACAAAACGCAGGATAAATGTCTGTAAGTGCTCCCGCACTCGGAGAAAACGGAGATGCTATCAGCAGTAATGCAGAGGGTCTCGTCTCGTCACGTATTTGAGTGACAACGCTTTTCCTTCGCGCTGTGCAGACTGGCTGAGCCTCAGCGTGGGAGACTTCTGTTCTCCAGCTGGGAAAACTTGCAAAAAGAAAAGGAAAACTTGCAAGTTGTTTTTTTTTTTTTTTTTTTCCTGAGAACATTCCTCTCCTTTGAGAGAGCTCCTCTCCCTCCCTCCTGCGCCACGGCGGGAACTGGCAGTAGGTCGCCTGGAGAAGCATGGTGTGTATGTGCTCCATGTGTGCTGTGCGCGTGTGGCGACTCAGAGGCTGTTGCAATCAAAATGTTACGTTGCAGTAGTCAGTCAGGTCCTCGGGGAGCGACTCTTTGTTCTTCCTGCATTTCCTATGAGCAGCAGATCTCTAGTTTTCCCGGCCGAGGCGACCTGGCCAAGTTGGGCATCCAACAAACTGAACTTGGGAAGCGGCTGCAACAAACGTAAACCGCGTTCCCTCTCAGAAACGGATCACTTACCGGAGTAGCCCACGGAGGGGCTGTACTGTGACACGTCCTGTTGCACCAAGGCTTTCTGCCCATCAGTCTGCCCAGCACAGTTGTATTTGCTTAGCTTCTCTTGGATCATACGTCACTGGTTGCATTTACCTTTAAGAGCATTTACCTTACAGCGTTTATGCTTTTGTGCTTTCTTGTGAACTCAGCAGTTTAGACAAAGAACTTTATAAAATATAAGCCAAATTAAGCATACAGCCTAGAAAGCTCTGCTAAAATAGCAGTCCATATTATTGAGAGTAGGATCTATGGGACCATTCTGTCCTTCCAAGGTCTAATTCGTCTCCCTTTCTGTCTGGCACCACCATAACACAGTTAAGACTGAACTAGTCCATGGGAACCTTTAGTTTCCAATTCCTAGACACAGTAAGTTGCATTAAGAGAGCTGTAAGGTGAGCTTCGCATCTATTAAAGGAGATCATGCCTTTCCCTTATACCTCGCTCTCCTTGGTCAGAAGTAAAGCATATAGAATTTCACTGTCCTTGAGATCTATTCCTATAAATAACTACTACGTTACCTCTGTAACACTTTTACAGCATGTGGTTTCTATCATTATATTCGTTTTAAAACCTCAGATTTTGACATTTTTTGTTCAGAAGAGGAAAAAAGAGTCTCGCTGCTTGCTGTGAAATTTAGTTTAGACTAAAATATGTGCTGTGAAACAGTCTGCTAAATGACCTTATGCACTGCTCATTGTAATCCAGAATTGCCAGGCAAGGAGAGTAATTAGTTGTGCAAAATGAAATAACTTTAAATCCTCACATTGAGTAATGACCCAGAAAAAATCACTTAAGCTATACAATGAGAAAGACTCAAAGCATCTGGCTTTATTTTTACTTTTGTAGCTCTGCCCCCTTTGGTTAAGAAACAGTCTCTCCCCCTCATCCCTTTTGAAACTGTGGCTGTTGCTTTCAGAGCAGAACAAATGTTCAGGGCTTGGTTGCCTCTATGCGAAGAAATCATACCTTTTCATAAAATGGCAGGGTAGGTCTAGCAGTGCTGGCAGAGCAGTCATTCTGCAAGGACTGTATACATTTGATAAATTAGCAACTCATAGCTGTTTACAGAGCTGCTTCAGATCATCTGAGATGAGCACAAGTAATAAAAGCCGTCACCCAGATCAGCAAACTGAGCTGGGTAACAGAAAGAGAGACCTTGCACGCCCTGATGACAAACTGGTGTCTTTGAAAGCTGAGTGGCAAATTGTTTAGCTCTCCTTTGGTTTCATGTAAATATGCGGTTTCTAACAAGATTTTTTTTGCAGTATTTATCAAAATTATCCACTATAAAAGGTGAACCCTGGTACCAGCCCTGTGAATTCTGTTAACAAAATATGTCACCTCTATAGTGGAGCAAAACAGAGCCAGAAAGTGCCTAAATGAGTCAGTGACGTGTGAGGACTGCAAACCTGACCCCAGCCGTTCAGACAAGCTTCCAAGTAGAGTTTACTGAGTGCACTGCGTGAGAATGAATTTTGACCAGGCCTTTTAAACATCAGGTATCGGCTACAGTGAGAAGTAAGATATTGGCCTCATGGGACTATCGGTGTGAATGGATATAAGAAACTCTAGTATTTGTTTATGAGGTGGGTAGAGAAGTGTTAGATAAAGTTACGTTAGACCTGCCAAAGAGATCAGATTTATCCTCCACATCCTGACAGCATGAAAGGGGTCTTGTAGCTATTGCACTAGCAAGTCTAATTCCCACTGGCCATAAAAAACAATCTGCCACCAAAGGGAGGAGATGAAGTGTTTTTAATAACCAAATGAGCCGTTTGCAATGCACTTGTAATTGGATCAATTTTTCCTTTATTACACAATCTTTAAAAATCAAACACATACTTATAACCAGACACGTTCCTTCTCCAGGTAAAGAGCAGAAGCCAAACTGCTTCATCACAGTTCTTAATTACTCCATTTCATCTCACTTGGCAGATGATCACAACATTGTGTAGGGGTACCACTGCAAGAAATACAGCACTACAAAATCATCTCATAGTCACCGTTCAGCTTTGTCAGGGAAAGTGCACACCCCAGGCTGAAGACAACAATTTTTCTTCTCTTTCCTTTTTCTGCCTGAAACCCAAGAATAGAACAACAGCGGTAGGCTAAAGACACAGGCACCAATCCCAGTACCTTGGCCCACAAAAGCATCACAAAGTGGTATTATTTTCTCTGAATCTCTGAGCGAGAAACAGACGACAAAGGTGTTGTTTAAATTGTGTAACCAGCAATAGACTGGGGTAACCAACTGCACAGTCAGTTTACTGGGCCAGCTTTATGTCCGTTTAAGCACTCCAGGAAACATTCTGACTAGTAGTGTGGCGTTTATTGCAAAAAAATTCCATTGGAACAGAATGTGACAGAGGTACCTATTATCATAGATAATATTGCTTCAGTTATTCAGGTCCATGGTAGCTTCCTGCTTGAAGCAGTTCTTAGGAACAGGGGAGATGTTTAAAGGAGATCAGAAGGAGAGGAACTGCCATTACCATAATACTGGAAAAAATGCCTTGAGTTACAATGCAATTAACTGCAGATGGTCCCAATAACAGTAGTCATCTCCCAAAAACATACATACAAGATGCGATCGGCTGCCCAAATTGCTGTTACACACCTTAGGCAACTCCCCCCTCCCACCCAAAAAGAGAAAAGCTGAGAATATAAATAATTATGTGGAGGTTGGTAGCTTTAGTAAATACACAGAGCAGCTGAGGAGAGAAGGGGAATTTTTAAATTCCCTTGGACTCCCTCAGTGTCTTCCACCATCTACTGTGCTAATACTTCGCTCTTAGCACCTGCTCCACAAGCTTTGTCCAGCAAATTACAGCAACAGAAATAGGACGTTACTTTGGTCAGGGTGCAACTCCATCACACAGCTGGACTTTTTTTTGTGCTGGCCCTTTTTGGCTGAACAGAACGGGAGGGAGAATAAAAATCGACCCAAAAGAGTTCTGCTTGTTCCGAAACCCTCTAAGGGCCAAGCAGTTGGTTGGAGTAGCTACTGCTCTGAAGCCCGTTTTACTTTGCTTTTTCACTACAAAAAATTTTTTTTTCATCTTAAAAAAAAAAATCACCTGTTGCATACATGTGGTAGCACAAATAGCAAACAATTTGCTGTAGCATGGCAGCCGCTATAAAATCAGCTTTTATATTGTCTATCGTGCCCCAAAATTTGCAACTACATTGTTGATAGCAACAAATAAACGCACTGCAGTATAACTATTATCTGTGGCAGATTAACACTCTACCACTGTGTCCTATTTAAATGTGTTTTTTCTTCAATAAACTATTCTAGGCGAGCAGCACCACACTGAGGTACGTATTTATCAGCCAGGAGAGTAGCACTGCAGGGGCCTTCGTTCACACAGCTGCAGTTTTGTGCTTCATTTGGCCCAAAGCCGTGATGAACATGAACTCTGGTGCCTGCTGCTACCATAAAAAAAGCTGAGGAATGTAGCATTTTGCTGTACAAAGAGAAAAAGGCAATGCACCAATGGAAGTGTTTCCAAGTATTTAAAAAAAAAAAAGAAAAAAAAAAGAGAGAGAGAGAGAAAGAATCCCTCCTATCCCCATCTCAAGAGAAAGTAGCTTTCACATGCAAAGTGCAAATGGGTGAAAACCTATCAGGAAATACAGTGGTCTGGAATGCAGGATAGTGAAGCGCAGGTGAATACACTGTATGTTGCATTTAATCTTGTTTACTACAGTTTCCCAGCCTTACTCCCCTATTGCTTCCCTCTCCTCCCCCCTCCCACATGAAGCTTCAGATACCAAACATGCCTTCCAAAGACAGTTTCCAAGATACATTTCATAATAAAACACCTGTGAATACCAACAGTAGGTTTACCCTATTTTTCCCCCCAACCCCCACCCTCTTTTTTTTTAACCCCCCTTTTAACTAGTAGAATAGTAATAAAAATCCCATTGCCATCAGAGGGCAGTTTTCTGGCTCAGCTCAGTCTCCCATGATTGCACTGTACTCACTTCACATTGAACAGACAGGGTTCACAAATGGCACGACGGGCGATCTCCTGAATACCAGAACAATGGAGAGAGAAAAACCTCGCTCTTCAGTTTGAAAGTAAAGCTCCATCTTTGTGCAGTTTAAGAGGGCTATTTTGTTTTATGCAGTGCTGCAATCAGAAATTGCTTTCTCTAGTAGTTGCCCAGACAACTGCTACCGAGTTCCTAGCAAGTACCACAGCAAGAGGATTGCTTCTCTAAGTTCTCTAAGGGAAAGTGATTTAGAGCAGTCAGTCAGTGTTTATGGCACAAAGAAAGATACAATGGTTGAAGCTTGAAGTAAGAGATGTGGCATAAGGAGGCAAAGAGGTTTATGGAGTGACCAGTCATTTAACACCGAACTGATACTCCAAAAGCGTTCTTTTCCTCATGCTTGTTCTTTTTTTATTGTACAGATTAAAAAAAAAAAAAAAAACAACCCACAACATCACCACCTAAGCTATTTTGTTTCTAAACACAAAATATAATGGTCTCTATGCCAAACCCCCTTGGATTATGGCACAATCTACCTGAAAGTTTGACAATGGTTTCTGGCAAATTGCAATGAGGCTGGAAGAACGTGAAATGACAAAAGGGGCTTTACCTAGAGAAACGCCTTTAGGGAGTGGAATATCTTCTCAGGTGGTAACTGTAGATCTTAATGCAGTGATCCCAACAGTCCAGCACTAACAGTTGCCCTTTGGGAGTAATGGCTATACCAACTGGGCAGGTGAGTCCTTCCCGGATTAAAATATTATAGCCCCCTCCTTTAGGAAAATGCAGAATTTCTTTACGGCTGCTGTCAGCAACAATTAGGTCTCCCCTGGCATCTACACACATCCCAGCAATGCATCTGAAATCCTCATTCTCTGAGAAGAAGTGGCTAATCTGGCGTCCCAGCTGCCCATCCGGACCCACAGAGCCAATTGAAAAGCCTCCTTCTAAATGGTGCTCATACTGGCGGTTTTCCAGGTTAAGTCCCAGCCCTTGAGTAAAGTATATGGTCCCTTCAGCATCACAAGTGACAAACTTGGGGCGCACTGCGCTACATAAGCAACTGTACTTGACTACCCCAACCCCACGGTCCACTGTGAAACACCAGAGTTTTCCCCCTTCCACATCGGTCACTACAAACTGCCCAGAAGGCAGGGCTGTGATGCCCCATGGCTTGCTTAGCTGGCTCCGATGACATGCCACACAATGGCCATCCATGGTGTACACCTTGACAGAGTTATCATAGCTGTCAGTCACACCTATCAGGCCATGGCAGTTCATGGTGACAGAAAGGGGAGTCAAATTGGGCAAATCTGCTCCAAGGAAACTTAATACAAAGCTATCAATTCCACTAGGGCTCCGGCGAATCTCTTTCAGAAAGCCTTTACGGGTAAAAACCTGGATTCGGAAATTGCCGCGGTCTGCCACAAGTACCTCTCCTTGGAGAGTGACATAGAGGCTGACAGGGAGATTGAACATCCCTGGCAGGCTACCCTTGGAACCCATCTTCTTGATGAAGTGACACTGCTGGATGCTGGTTGCTGCTTCAGGCATCCTTGGCTTTGCTGGTGAGGAATTTGGTGTGCAGCTGGCCTCGTCTTGCACCAAGTCAGGCTCCCTAAATGATGCCGATGAGGATGCAGCAGTTTCCATGAGCGACTCTTCCATATTAACAGTCCGAGGTTTCTTCACTACCTGCCCAATCTGCAGTGGTCCCACATGGCTCACCTTAAGGAGTTCAACTTCTTGAAGCGTCAGCTCCCTTGGGAGACTGTTGGTCAGTTCTGGCTCTTCCTCATCTACTGCCTCTTCCAAGAGAGCTATATCTCCTTGCTTTATTTTGGCAAGAAAATAGTCACAACGAGACAATATCTGCACTTCTGCTAAATTCAGCAGATAAGCTTGTTCCTCCATTACCTGATTATTTACCTTCTCCACTTCAGACAAAGAGGTGGTGAAGAACTTGCGTGACCTGGCCAGTTCTTCCTGGATCTTGCGCTCTTCTTTGCTGTAATCCTGCAGAACTGCTTTGTATCTTGATTGCAAGTCTTTTGAGACACCCTCGAGAGATGCTTTTCTTTTCTGCAGATCCCCCATGAGCTCCCGAAGTCTGGCAAGCCTTGTCCCAAACTCCCTCCTCCGTTCTTCAGCAGCCTCTTTGATAGCAATGACACTGTGCCCTTGGGGCATGTGTGATGTCTCCTTACATGGCTCACATAAAACCAAGCTACAGCTCTTGCAGAAGTGTCTAGGCAACCTTCTCCCGCAAACCTTGCACATGAGAAGACCCACCACTTCGCTCAGTCCTGTGGTGTCTATGATCTTCAGCACAGTAAGATTGTCAGTCAGCTGAGCTAAGTTTGTGATCCGTGTGATTTTGATGCAAAAGGGGCAACGTATCCCATTAATGCTGTTTGCTAGGAGTTTCTCCAAGCACTGTTTGCAGATCGTGTGCCCGCAGTGTAAGAGCTTGGGTCTCAGGTGCTCCTCAGTAAAGGATTCCATGCAAATGGGACATTCCAGGACCTCTCGGAGCGCATCCGAGTTCAGATGAGGAGCAGTAGCCATGGCTTTCCAAGGCAGCTGCAGCCAGTGCAAAATCTCACATTTATTCCAAGGTGCTCTGATCCTGTCCGGAAAGAAAAAAAGAAATGTGATTTATTTCATTTTCAGCAGTTACATACACAAGCAATTTATTTCTGATTTATCACCCAACCCTGGAAAAAAAGAAAGCTACTCGGCTTTTCCACATTTGGAAAGGGTAGATTAATCATAGCTAATCTCAGAGTGGGCAAATTCCAAAACTACCTTGCAGCTTCTAGTGCAATGAATTATTCACTTGCAAAATTTATAAGGAGAACTGAAAGCGTAATGGCAGCAATAAGGAAACCCAATAGATACTGACGACTGAATCATCTCCTCATGGTGCCCATCTCCCACTGCCGAGTTTACATAATTTACTGAAGCCCAGAGAGATTAAACTAAGCATTCAAATTCCGCACACCAAAAGAGGTACCAGATGGTGCAATGCTTTAGGACATTAATATATCACCTCTGGAGACCTACATTCAGATGTGACATCAGATACAAATGAAATAAATGTGGTTGTTTTAATCTGCTTTTCTGGATAGCCAAAATAAGTTTTCAAGGTCTCATATGTTTGCCAGGAAGTGAAACTAGACAGAATGACTTGTCAACTTCCACTGGTTTTGTGAATGACTATACATATTGAAAATACACATCTAATATTCTTTGCCAGTATAAGTCATTAACCTCTGCCGTGCTGCATCTTGCTTCAGCATGCAAATGAAACACAGCTTAATCTGGCAGTGTTCTAGCAGCTATTAGCAATAAAGAACAAGCTACTCCAAACATTTGTTAAAAATATGTATTCTAAGTGTTCATTATTAGTTCTTGGGCTTAGCCTAATTGCATATAATTTCTGCTCATTTCATCATCTTGCAGCATTGACCGTACTCTTGCATTTTGGTTCAGTTGTATGCCACTGTTGCTGCCATTCAATGTTAATCTAGGCTCCTTCATCCTCACATCTCTCAGTAGGAAGCAGATCCCAGCAGCTCTGCTAAAGCAGTCATCCGTTCAAAAGGAACAAAATAGCGCTCACATCATTAAGTTATTATGCAGTAGATTGGGTTTCAATACCTTTGCTATTGCATCGCTTAGCCATTAGAAGAAATGCAAAGAAAACACTGGGGGGGGGGGGGAGGGGAGGAGTAAGGAAGTTGTTAGTCTTTAAAATGGAGAGACAGTCACAGGGAGCTGTGAACTACCAGCTTTTTCGGAATAATGGCTGCATGCACACAGCGTTCTCACTTCCCTGTTGAGTTTGCCTGCTTCATCCTTGGGAGCATTTCAGATAGAAAGGTTGGGTGTATTTCAGTTTACCATTTGCTCAAGTGGAAGTTGCAATGAAGAAAAGTTCTTTATGTTCATAAGGGGTTGGGAACAACATCACTTAAATTTATCAGCTGTCATCCAGAGCCCAATTCACCATTCTTTACAGCCTACATTTCAGGGACGGATTCAGTGGTATAGCAGCATCTCCATCCAGTACCAAGCTGGGATCTGATCCTTGGCTCCCTGGATTGGGCAGCACAACGAATTCATCATATACATAGCACCTGGGGAGCATTGGCAGTCCAGTTGCTTGCTATTGCTGGCACTGAATACATTTTCCTTTTATTCTTAGCATATATCTCAGCTGTGGAAATAGAAGCCTGGGCATTGTCATGTGGATCAGAAATATTCCTCTGAAGGATGAAAATCTGTATTTTAAAATGATTTTTTTAAAGGAGGCATAGAATACTGGATCTATTAATCTTATTTTCTTTGGACTTATGTCAAAAGACTGCTTAGGGAAGGATGAAGTAGCAGCACAGACAACAGCTCATAAGAGTTTCATTAAAAGTTACCTTTAAAACATGTATTTTCATTAAAGGAAAACGGAGGAGGGGACTGTGTTTAGTTTTTAGTTAGTTTTTGGAAAGGTGATTTATATGACATTCCTTTAATGTCTAAAACCCTTTTATCAGAATGCCACCGCGCGTCTTAGTAACGTGAAACTCTGTTAAGAGCCGCACTTTTATCTTTATCTCATACTTGGTCATGGCTTCATAGAAGTTTCCTTAACAGCTAGTTATTTTTGCATATCAGACATCCCCAAGGCAGTTCCTTTGACGCAGAGAAGGGCGTTAGAGAAAGCCTTAGCTGAGGACTGAGCTATAAAACGGTGCATGTTATTTAAGTTCTGTTTCCTTCTATTCCAAAAATTTTCCTGCTGTAGTTTTTCTTTCCACTCTGTAGCTTTTAGCATGCGTTATGAAACTAACTTGTATTTCACTTGTAATTCTTCGCTTGTTTTATTAAGGGGTTCAAACAATAGGATAAAGCTGGAAAACCTGGGTTATGACTTCCTACAGCGTTTATCAAAATAATTCACTGAGGCTTACAAAACATGCATAAAAATGTGCGTTTTTTTTTTTTTTTGGCTCAACGAGAGCGTTCCCAGAAAGCAAACGCTCGCAGCAAGAAGGGTCCGTGCACCTTCAGCCCTTTGACGCACTTGCAGCACGTCCGAGGCGTGTGTGAGGCGGAGGCGCGCGGTCCGTTAGCACCGGAGGGGGGAAGGTGTTAGTCAGCACCGCAGGCCCAGAGAGACTCACAGCAGGCTGGGCTCGATGTCAGTGAGCGTCCTGGTCACGCAGGGAGCGGGTCTGCGCCCCTCCCGTGTCCACCCCGTCGCCGAGCGGCTCTCCTGGCGGCCGTACGCATCTGTCGTGCAACCTCAAAGCCGGGCCGAGCAGCGGGGCCGAACC